CCTCTCTGCCAAAACAAAACAAGTGTCATTAAAAAAAAAAAATTAAACAAACACATGAGGAAACCGGTGGTTATGGAAAGAATGAAGCAACAGCCAGCCCCCTTTAATTTTCTCAGCCCAGAGGTGGCATGATGCAGGGATCAAGTGGCAGAGTGAGGAATAGAACCCAGGCAGCCTGACTCCTAGGCCCCTCCCCAGGGCTGGAAACACAACCCTGCTGTCCTGTCTCCCAGTGCAGGGGGGCAGTTGCTCAGTGACACCTAAAGTGGTCCACTGTTGCTGCAGCACCATATATAGTTATTAAGCAGGCCCTACATCAACAGTGACTTTGAGACTAGCAAGCAAAGATGGGACAGTGACCAGTGTTCCCACTAATCTTTTCCAACCCTGTGTGGAATTTTTGCCATGCACGTGCAGAATAAAATTTGTTCTGTGCACTGAGGCACAGGCGAATGTGCACCACCAATAGAAACACAAGCCCAGCTGTGAATGCTCTGCTGATCAGTCGCATGGCATTGGAATTTCTCCTTAGCAGCCGCACAAGCACCCGGTTTGCAGGGCCAGACACAACGAATTGCAAAGGGGGCCTGGTAAAAGCTAGAAGAAATAAACACAAAGTGGTTTCCTGCCTCATTTGCTCATACCACAATGCTCTCAGTTGCCCAGATGGGATGCTGTTCTGGGCCTAGCTAAGGTTAGGACTGAACGAGGTCATGCTACCGCGGTGCAGCATCTTTCGGCTACTAGCTAGGAACAAGCTGAAGGCTTGTCTACACTCAAAAATAAATTCAGATTAAGGGAGGGTGCGAATTTAAAATGCAGTAGCTATTCCCGAATAGACACACAGGCTGTGTCTACACTGGCCACTTATTCCGGAAAATCAGCCGCTTTTCCAGAATAATTTGCCAGCTGTCTACACTGGCCCCTTGAATTTCCGGAAAAGCACTGACGATCTACTTTAAGAAATCAGCCGCTTTTCCGGAAATATGCTGCTCCTGTTCAGGCAATAGTCCTTTTTCCGGAAAACTGTTCTGGAAAAGGGCCAGTGTAGACAGCACAGTAGTGTTTTCTGCAAAAAAGCCCCGATCGCGAAAATGACAATCGGGGCTTTTTTGTGGAAAAGCGCGTCTATATTGGCACGGACACTCTTCTGGAAAAAGTGCTTTTCTGGAAAAGCATCCTGCCAATGTAGACGCGCTTTTTCCAGAAATACTTATAACGGAAGACTGTTCCGTTTTAAGCATTTCCGGAAAAGGGTGCCAGTGTAGACGTAGCCACTGATTCTGGCAGAAGGCGGCCTTATTGCTATCTGTCTTAATCCAGATTAAACGACAGAACAAATTCTCTCAATCCGGACTCAGTGTTCATACAGGTTGCTAATCAGGCATTGCTAATCCAGAGTAAGGTCCGCAGGTGGACAAACCCAGACTTCAAAACTCAGCAGCAGCCAGGGAAGAATGGATGTTCTGGTCCTTTTCTGCCAGTGGCTTGCAGGTGATGAGTTTGTTGAGTTTCAGTCATCTCCACCGTCCTGGAGGTTCTACGGGCTGGGAGAAAAAGGCTGCTGGGTTTGAGGTGTGTTTTGGTCATGGATTTGCATTTTTTATTCTTTGCTGCCACCTAAACAACAACAAAACTTCCCGTTTATGTAGGACCTACCTAAAACTACAACTCCTGGCTCGCAGAGGAGCAACTCCCAGTGGACTTGAATTGGAATTTGGGGGGGGCTCAGGCCCCCCAACACTGAGCTCCTGGGTATCGGAGCAGCAACACAAACCTCGGGCCTGGCCATGCTGGTGCCTGCGCCCCAGGAAGTAAAAAAAATACCATGATGCTCTTCTTTGCTGGGGCAGAATGTCTGCCCCCATGCTGGATGGACAAACAGATGGCCTCCCCCAGCAGCCTGCAGCCCAAGGGCTGGCCTGGGCAGACATACTGAAAGCCATCACTCTGCAGGCTTAGGGCAGCAACACAAACCTCGGGCCTGGCCATGCTGGTGCCTGCGCCCCAGGAAGTAAAAAAAATACCATGATGCTCTTCTTTGCTGGGGCAGAATGTCTGCCCCCATGCTGGATGGACAAACAGATGGCCTCCCCCAGCAGCCTGCAGCCCAAGGGCTGGCCTGGGCAGACATACTGAAAGCCATCACTCTGCAGGCTTAGGGCACGTTTCCCTGTGAGAACCTGAGAGACAAGCCCCCAGGCCGAGAGCCAGACAAGGCCCGGAGACAGCCCCCCTCACACCCGCAGACTAGGGAAGGATTTTTATTTCCAAACTTCCAACGCAGTGTTA